CTCTCTCCCTCTCTCTCCTCTCCCTCGGCTCACCCTCAGCCTCACGCTCGTTACACCTAGTCCAGTTTCGGAAACTGGGCCTGGGCGCAGACGCTTGGGGCCCAACTGAAGCTACTGGGCCCCCACACGCCAGGCCAGGACAGCCAACAGCGACACACTTTCCATAAAGGAAAGTGTGAGCCCCTGGGGGAGGCATATTGGCCTTAGCACGCAATGCGGACACGCTGCTGCGCTAGTGTCTGCGTGTGCATGCTGGTCAGACGTGCGCACGGGCGCTGAGGTGAGGGGCACTGTAAGGGCAGCGGGCGCACAGCAGCCATAGCCGGGCTGCAGGGGTGCAAGGCAGGTAATGGCGAAGGTGGTCTTCGGGTAGGAGGCGCATGATGTGGGGAGACGAGGGGTGATGACGAGAGTAGATAGAACGTACCTGGTGTATGCCGGTGATCGGCATTGGTGTTGACGTCACGTACATTGGTCTTTGACTTCAGAGTGATCCAGTTGCGAGAACGCAGATAGGCTAGATAGGCTGAGTAGGATAGGCTGGGCGCTGGACGCCAGACAGTAAGTGCGACATTGGATACAGTGTTGGTGGTGTGACCAGAAAGTGGCAACATTGACATTCGAGTTCATTGTATTGCTCTTATTTGGACGGTATATAATCTTGGTGCAATTGCACTCTCTGCTTGGTTCATGACTATCTGAGCTACTTCGTGATTTTGCAACTCGGATTCCTGTCTATTGCTCTCCGTCATATTCCTTGCATTTGCAGCATATCTCGATTTATGCATGTCATCCTTGCGCAGCGGCCATGCTAATCTTCTCTCTCTGTAACGTTCCAATTTTAATGGATGTCCCGAAAGACCTTTTTTTTTTTTTAACAAGAAAAAAGTTCAAAAAACTTTCATAAATAGCTTGAAAATCGAGGGCGGGCCCGGGGGGGACCTCACAATTCAACTCCGAGTTATCTTGGCAGCCTTAGCCAATTTCGCTTATGTTGAAGATCTAGCCGTCTTCCTAAGTTCCTAGTACTTCCTACCCTATTCCTCTGTGTCTTCCCATAAGGGGGGTAGGGTATGTTCCCAAAAGTTGGTCTGAAACTGGTAGTATTGGAACGTGCTCGCTTGAAGCGGTCTTTATTTGCCGGGCACTATTGGTTTTCTGAATGAATGTGTTCACGTTTCTTTGCCAGGTGTGTGCTCGTGCGGTCTCAATGTTGGAGATAGGGTATGTGTACTATGTTCTCAAAAGTTGGTCTGAAACTGTTAGTATTGGAAAGTGCTTGCTTGAAGCTGTCTTTATCTGGAAGTGCTGCTCTCTGTGACATTTTGCTTGGCACTGTTGGTAGTCTGAACGAATGTGTTCCCGGTGCTTTTGTCAGGTGCGTGCTTATGCGGTCTCAGTGTTGGAGAAGGCAGATGATGAGGAGCTGCTTTGTTATGTGCTGCAGCTGGTACAGGCACTCCGATACGAGAGAACGGATCATTCACGGCTTGCCTTGTTCCTGGTCTCAAGAGGTAGGTAGGACTCGACGTTGGGCACACGATGCTGAGATGGATGGACGCTTAATAAGACCCTCTCTCGATAGTTTTGAGCTTGTGTAGTCGAGAGAAAACCATCCCCGTCACCTGTTTTGAATCTAAGGTTGTTTATAGTTTACGCCTGGTGGGCAGGTGGTGGGTGAATAGGTACTTTCAATAAACAGGTTACGACCAGAGTTACATCGTCGCCGATAAACGAGGAGGACCGCTGATGGTATCATAGGAGACTGGTCAGTTGGACCGGTCGTCGATGCAGATTGGTGCAGTCTCTCATCTGAGCATCTTAGTGACAGCAGGTTGGCACTGCGCGTGCCGTGAACACCATTTGCTGCGACACCAACGAAGAAAAAAGGAAACCACACTTGGCTGTTGGGCTTTCACATTGCCCTTCCGTGTCTGCTCGATTTATGCAGTTTCCTTCTTCTTCTTCTTCTTTTCTTTGGGGGGTAACTTCAGTAGAGTCACAAAAACGAGTTCTAAAAATAATTGCACTATGGGGCACGATACAGTTTGCAATTGCACTTCAGGCACCCTACCTGGCCAGAAATCTGGGTTCTATACATTGCCCAACTGCTACTCGACACTGTATCTTGGCCCATAGTGCAGTTATAACTCGTTTTTGTGACTCCCGCGTAGTTTCCCCCTTTTTTTCTTTTCTTTTCTTTTTTTCTAAGATGTGGTACACCAGATCCAGCCGTAACCAATCCCACCATAGTATTTTAAATTTTAATCATCTGCTCTCAGTGGAGTTTTAATTCAGCACCTGGTCTGTATCTCAACAGTTCAGTCCAGGGGGGCTGTACCAACTGAGCTCGTAGGCCAGTTGGTACATTCATACAGTTTCCTCTTTTGTAGTCTTAGTTGTTTTGTCTCGACAGAACGACACAACAGGACTCTACTCTTGTCCTGTTTCGTTGGTCTTCGGGATTAGACTCATCATTAGAGTAATGATTAATTAATGGAGACAGTTGGGGGCCTCTGTATTCGATTGTCAAAGGTAGTTGTTTTGTCTCGTGGTTGCGTATTTACTATTTAGTATTTACCATGTGCTTTCCATGGCATGATATGTGTTTGCCTGTTAACCAGTGTTAGGGCAAAAGAAAGAGAGTGGCACTTGCACTCTTTTCAAGTTTTCCTTGCTTTCCCAGGTATAACTAACACTGGTTTTCAGTGTCCAGTGTTAGGGATAACCAATCCTTTCTTTTGCCCTAACCTGGATTTGTTCTAGTATAGTGGAACTAGTGTGAGAAAAAAATTTAACACCCGTCGTCCCACTACCTCCGTCTTCGTTATGCACGACGTCGTTCTCGTTGCATCACGACAAGCACCCAAGAAAAGAAGAAAGAAGTGTTTTTTTTTTCTTGTGCTTCGTCAAACAACGCTTTTGTTTTTCTTCTTCTGATCCCTCTTCACCCCTCCCCCCCACCTCACCCCTTTGCTTGCCAACTAGATCGGCTTTCCAATTGACCTACCGTCTTCCCCCCGAACATAACGCACCTGGACGGTGAATGTAGAGAAGCTATGTTTCCGGTCAGGTACAGCCAAAATGAGTGCGCGTTGTGTTCGGGGGAAGACGGTAGCTTTGGTTCACAAAGTGACGCAAACAGAATTCTGCATGGTTTGTCTTGTGTCTATCTATTGTTGTCAAATAGATAAAAGTGTGGGGGTTAAAATTTAATATCAAGTGAACGACTTTGGAATGCTGCTCTGTGGTTTCACTGCTGACTCTTTCGTCAATCAAATGTGTGCAGCGGCGAAGAATGCTGAGCTGGCAAACTTCATGCACTGGTATTTGGTGGTTGAATGTCATGATCCCACCTACAGCAATCGTTATTCGTCCACTTTAACAAAGTTTGAAGAAGCCCAGTCTCAGGTGGGTCTTTCTTTGTCTGTGCTTCTCTTTTCAGTCGGTGACATTCGGTGTTGTATATGGCCCGGTTCCCAGTATTTGCTCCCCACAAATAGATCCAAGCTGTGTTGCCCAAAAAAAAAAAAAAAAAAAAAGGAACCAGGTCAGATGACTGACAACCTCCAATTCTCTTCACACAGCTACAAAGCACTTCTGAGAGTAGGTGGTCTGTTCAATACAAATCATAACAACATAGCGGAATGAACGATGAAGATTGTGGTATCTGTTTGTTTTGTGCAAAATTGCAAATCAGATTGAAGTTTTGACTCGTACCCCTATTGACGGAAGTTTTTGGCCAGCTCAGCCAGCTGCTTTTGAATTTAATATCATCACACAAGTGGGAACTGCGGCCAGTGTGCCTTATACATGACAAGCAGTGTAAGCAGGGAAAAGAGGGACCAAGCAACTCCAGGTGAACTTCCCCACCTTTGGGAAAGCAATGCGGTCCTGGACACGAAAGTGCGAGTAGTAGTATACTGTAAGATAAGATGCCGCCCGACGAGGCGGCCGAAAGGAATGAATTGCCACCGATGAATCCAATCCATTCCCACCACGCTATGCTAGTAGAAGGCATGCACTACTAAATACAGACACAATTCATATTCCTTTAATTTCAATTGGCAAGACTACATGCCCCTGAGATAGGAGCTCACACAAAGAAAGGGGGAAAATGTGAGCACAAGCTCCCGCCTGTCTCCTGAGGCAACCTCTACCAAGCCAGAAAAAGAAAACCCAGCGCCGAGAGGATAAACAAAGCGCTTCGCAAGAAGATTCCTTCCTCTGAATGTGCAAGGCCCATTCAGTAGTGAATCTCCCGTTTGATCTATATTTAACCTCCGTGCATCTTGCTTTCGTGTCCAGCATGTCTCACTTTTGTGTGGAAGGGCTCAATGGTACTAGAAGCAAAACTTATCTCCGCACGGTCCAGACAAGCATGTTGTTGCGCGTCTTGCTTCCGTTGAGCGATATCCGCTTGAGCTGATCAAAGGTAACAGAAGCAAAACTTATAAAAAATCATTGTGCATAACACAGACCGTGGTGGGAGGGGGGTTTGGGGTGGGGGTGGGGCGGGGGGGGAGGAGGGGGTGAAATCTCTTACCGTAGTGATACACAGCAGCAGTGTTACAGAAAGTCCATGGGTAAATAAGATGTATGTATGGCTCCTCTGCATGATAATTATAGAGGTACTCTCATCAGAGCTTGTAGCTGGCACTCTCATGAGCAGGGTTACCGGCGTTCGGGACGGGCCGAACGCCCGAACCCGAACGCCGGAACGTACGGGACCCCTTCGGAAGGCGTTCGGCCGTTCGGGCCGAACGCGGACCCAAAAGTTTTCAAAAAATTCCGAAAAAAAAAAAATGTTATGGAGAAAAATAACTATAAACAACATTTGCCTGGGCACTACATCCAAATTCGTTACCAAATTTGAATTAAAAATCAAATACAGAAAATAAACACTATGATAAAAATAAGATAAAACAAAAAGAGAATTAAAATGAGTGAGTGTGCCAGCACCTTTTCGACACCACCATCTTTGCCGATTTTTAATTATCTTTTGGCATTGAAAAATGCCCTGAAAATTTACAGATATGTAGTTTACATAATCAATAACTCGTTAAAAGTTTTTCAAAAATAATATTTTTTTTTAGGCCCCGAAATAAAGTGAAAACAGAAAGTTGGAAGTGAAAAAAAACGAAATAGTGAGTGGGCGAGCACGTTTTGACACCCCCATCTTTGACGATTTTTAATGTTTTTTTTTTTGGCTTAGCAGAATGGCTTCAAAATTTATAGGCGTGTAGGTTGCATCATAGAGAACTCACAAAAAAAAAATTCAGAAAAAAAAACTTATTTTTAGGCCCCGAAACATTTTTTGGCGGGGGCCGAACCTGGAGGTGTTCGGCCCCCGAACATTCGGTCAGGTAACCCTGCTCATGAGTATATATTCACCTGTCCATCGAGACGATGCTCATGCTGAGTAACTCTCGCCAGAGCTTATAGCTGCCGCGCCGATGCAGATACATTCGCAAGTCGATCGATCGGGATGATGCTCCCAGCATAGGTTTGGTCGACTTCTCTGCCATTCTCAAGAGGTCAAAAGAAGGCTTGCTTGATCAACTTCTCTGCCATTCTCGAGAGTCGAGAGGCTAAAGAAATTGCACAATGCACAAAGCTGTTGCAGGTCTTCGACACGGGCAGCAGGAATCAAGAAAATGCACACAGGGGTCAAGAAAAAGCACCACTGATCTACGTGTATACACACAGTTAAAGGAACAGTGCTACGGTGGAGTATGGCAGGAGTGAAAGTTGGAAATTGAATGAGGAACACGTTGAATAGAAGTGGGTTCTGGCATCACAGCTGCTTCTTGTGCCGAAAAGGACTGTTTGCACACCTGGACGTCTTTAGGGCCGAAAAGCCTCGTGCTGCATGTAGTTGTGCTTCGTTCTGCATGTGCTTGATGACTAACGACAGGGTGTGGTGTTGTTGCTAGGAGCCAGGAGGAGACAAGATACTGGACAACCTGAAGAGGCAAAGAGAATTAACGGCGCAGCTGTGTGCGATTGTGAGGGAGGTGAAGATGGTTCGAGGAGCGCAGCGAAAGATAGAGAAGTTGAGGCAGCTGCTTTCGTCCCAAGGATTGCTCGGCGAGCTTACCCACTTTCCACAGGTTGGCCTTGCATACATTTGGTCAAAGAGGAAGCCCATGCGCCTAATCAAAATCAATATTCGTACTCTGTACACAGGCTACACCACTTTCCCAGCACCACAGAAATTGCAAACTACCATGAAGTTTTTTTACCAAAGGTGGTACCCCTTACATTATTATATCTGTCTGACTCGATCAGGATTCGAACTCGTGATCCTTTTACTAGGAGTTATATGTGTGCACCATGCAGCCGATTGGGCTGCGTATGAAGTCCCAATCTCAGCTATTGCTCAGCTGGAATTTCCGCTCGCTGAGGTGCATTTTCAATCACGAGAGAGAGAAAGAGAGGGGGAGAGAGAGAGGGGGGGGGGG